TACCTTCACCTACATTACTTCCCCAGAATTCCTTACCTTAAAAACTTAGCTTCTAGATTTTCTTATTGTGTACAACGGAATGGTAAAGGTGGTAATATTTTAGAGGGAGTATAAAATTGAACCATAAAAATAACTTTCCAAGTTTATAGAAACATCAAACATAACTTTGCTCTGTGACCAGATTTGCTGGATTTATCCAGAGAAGGTGATAGAGACTTCAAGATCAGGTTTTCTTTTTCATGGAAGTGTAAACGTACACCCTACACCACCACTGCCACCTCTCACCCTAGTATCTAAAAGACTTTTTTTTTTTTTTTTTCAGTTTCTAGGATAGATAACTTGTTTACTCATGGCCCCACTCATTGATTCATCCTCAGAAGCAGAGGCAGCCTGCCAGATCCCTGGGTGCTTTGGAGCACTGACAGATGGGAACAAGCAAGGAAGGAATGGAGGGGGGAGCCTAAGCTTGTTTATTCCCCCACTGCTAACCATGCTTCCCAGCCACATGTGTTGCTTAGACACACCACTTCATCATTCATATCATAACAAAGGAGAAGCTCCCAAAGTTGACCTAAGTAACAAGATATTTTTCTAAGGATGAACACCTAAGTCAAGACAAAACCCTGTATCTTTTCACTGCAAATGACAAATCTACAAATGAAAGTGAAGGTTGAGAGGTGGATGTAAAGAGTTGATTGATCATGGGGAGTTGTGTGCTATGTGGGACTCGGTTTATTTACATGGAATTAAAATAACACCATTATCAACATCATATCAGATTTACTATCCTCCAATTAGCAAAAGACTAATGAGTAAATGAGGGAAAGTAATTCTACCACCTGGCACAAGCATCACGATCTCCCCGCAGGAAGCAAGATGTATTGAAACTTCTACCAATAGAAGCCTGAAGTCACCACACAGGCCACCTTTTAGAAAATCATCTAGGTTTCACTTCTTAGCAGTTACTTAGCTAAAATTTTACTTAGTGAAATTTCTGCTTTTTTCATCTACATTTTAAGTCTGGATTCTCAAAATTTGATATAATACAAAAAAGAAAATAAAAATTGCTTAGAATACTGAACCTAATAATGTGCAACATCAGAAAATTCAGCCTAGTTTCTAGAAAGGGGTAAGTTGGATTCATCCGACACGTTTATGTTAACAATAGTACTTTTTTTGTCCTTACTGGGAAGTAAAAATATTTTTTCATTTTAAATCAAAAATATCTATTATGGAGCAGCATGAAGAATGAGGGTGAATTTTTAATATTAATAAGAGATTTTAAAGAAATGTTTACAGTTGGGGAGCTTTAGGCTATTCACTGTTTGCAGTAGAAGACTTATGTTGAAAAGTTTTTGAGAAAGATGGTTTAAATATGGGAGAAGATTAAGTTGGTTGGTTGAAGACATAATACTAAAGGAGTTAAAACACACTCCTTCCCTCCGTTTTATGTCAGTGTTACCCTGTCAGCGTTATAAACCTCTCAGTTCTACCTCTTCCATGAAGCCTTCAGGCTCACCTGGGCTTAGAGCAGGCTGTGGCGTGCTCCGAATTGCTGTTAGGCCATAGTAGACACTTGCTGACCAAGGTCATGCTCATGTTATTTAGAGACTTTGACTATGGCATGGCTAAGTTCTTCAGTGCAAAAAAATGGCTTGGCCCCAGAAGGGATCCAGAGGCTGTTTTGTTTTGTTTTGCACTCTGGCACAATATATTCACTTGCTTCTAGCATCACTCATTGATTTCTGACTAAAAGTATTGTCAGTCTATCCATCCTTTTGCTGAGTGATGGAAACATGTGATGGAGATGGTGGGGTTAATTGCCCCGCTAAAGAGGCTGTCCCCACCTTGGCACTTTTTCCATGTATGTTTGCTTCACCTCCTATTACCTGTATAACATTTCCCCAATTGCCAGCCAGGCCCTAGTCTTATCAGGCCGAGAAGCCTGAGACCCTCTTCACACTAAGTGGGTCTTTTGAGGCCTGTAGACTGACTCAGAGTCCAGTAGGCCTCCTCTTAGGTCAGCTCTGGTTCTTGTGGACTGCCTGAAAGTCACTGCAGTAAAAAGTTGCCTCAGCTGAACATGTCCTTCCTTTCTCCCCACAGACGTAACCAGTGCGGTGCAATCCAAGCGAAGAAAATCCAAGTAAACAAGCTGGACGACGACTTGATATTTGTAAATGTGTGTGAATTTTACAAAAAGCAATTTTGAGCTGTGACTTTTTAAAAATCCATTTCTGTACAGTTAGTTATTTTAATAACGTGGTCCTTTTCCTAGTCCCTGCAGCCTGTTTCGTAAAGTGCAATGGGGAAAGCAGAGTTGTTGAACCATTTTGGTGTTGCAAGATGAAGTTCAAGGTTTCTAAAATGTTGCCGTGTATTGAGAGGAGCTAACGCGATTATGTTACTAGTTTTCACATTTCCTAAGCAGCCTAGAGTACAGGGTGAGCATTTTTAGATCTCTAATGATGTATTGTGCTGTGGAAGTACTGTGTGTGGATAGCAGTAGTAGGGCAACAGGAAATCTTCTCATTTGGAAATGTTGTAAATAATTTTATTATATAGTGTTTTGGATGTATTTGTTGTAGAAATGGACCAGTGAATAAAGAGAATCTAAGGGTTTGTACAATGTGAAATACTGAATGTGTTAAATAAATGTCTTTTGTCCTAGAACATAAACGTATGTTATTGGTAAGGGATTATTGGGTAAGCAGGCTCTTTCTTTGGACATAAGTGAATAGGAACAGCCTTCTTTGTGAATTTGAATTCCATCTTGTCCTCGTTGCACTTGAGATGCCCACCTGGGAAGTTTTGGAAAATGAACATACTTGTGCACTCAGCTCATTCCTTGGCTTTGGAAAATTAGCTCTTTTTAGCACTGTAGCAGGCACTTTGATATTGGTCAGATTTCTTTTGGTTGAAAATAACAGAATCAACTTAGGATCAAAGTCACCCAGGACCATCTAGAAATGAGAAGCAATCAGCAAATCAGACGGTACTTTTCTCTACCTCTTTCATCTGCTTCTCCATGCACATGATTGCTCCAAAACAAGCACGTATACACTTCCTCCATTCAAGAGAGAAGCCCAGACCGACCAGCAAGATTTTTTTGTAACAGCATCAAGAATCTAGCCCAGTTTAGGTCAGGTTTCTAACTTCAGTCCATATCTGTGGTTAGACGGAGCAGCTCCCAAATAAAAGTGGTCATTTTGCATTATATAGTTCAGAGACACCCACTGTGTTCCACTCTTTGGCTACTCTGTTTCTGATTGGCATCACCATGGCTTGGGGTGACTTATGAACAGGCCTAGGTTTCTCCCTTTCCTGGCTCTGTCCTTACATTAAAAATTGTGGTCTCTAAACCAGCTCCTTCTGCCCCTCTCCTACCATCAACATTCAGGGGACATCAATGCTTGAGGTCTTGTCTTTATCTTGGTCTGGGCCCCAACCTTCTGCTATGTCTCCTATAGCCAGACATATACTCCATCCCTTCCCCTTCAGTAGCTCCATATCCCAGTGCCTGAGACCCAAAGAATGAATTGGTGATTCTCATGTTCTTATTCTCATTTTTTAAAACATGTCTTGCATTATAAGGATTCTCTAAAAGTAGTTATTTCTGAGTCACACCATATTGTCTGGCTCTGTCACCAGCAAGCTCATCTACCCTCTTCCTTCCCTGTGTGACACACACAACCAGAACCAAACCCAGCCTTACAATAACACACTATATGTCAATACTGTGTTTGAGATTGCAAAGGGCTTCTCCAACTTTAGCTCTACTCAGGAAGAAAGCATATGTGCTTTAAATAGATTTTTATTTGTTTTTCTTTATATTAACTTTTTCTCCCATAGAGGAATAACATTACAATCTAACAATCAGAATCCTGTTACACACATCCACAGGCATGCCACATGACCAGGCTGAGGTGGTTGTGTCCTCGAGTCTGTCAACATGTCACAACATGGTCAACCAGAGTCTCCTCTTTTCAGCCGGTCTCGACACAAAACACCCAAGAGGGATACACTCATCTTACTGGCTCCACCTGGAACCAGGGGGGCAGGGCAAGAGGAAAGATACAAGGGGCAGTGTTAAGTCTGCCTCAGTCCCCTCACAGAAAGCCACATGGATCTGAGGAGTCATCCGGGAGCTCTGGTGGGGTCCTCATTGCACCTGACATTATGTATCAGAGCAGACTACCAGGGTTCCAGACAGGGGTAAGGGAGCAAGCATACTCCAAAACAGCAGCACACTGCATTCATACACACGTGGTACCCTGATGGGGCCAGACTGGCAAAAGCTGGAAATGACACCCAGCTTGAATAGAGCTGTATTGGGGGAATTACTCAGATGTATTGGGGAATTAGTGGAAGTTGTCCTTTAATGTAACTGGGACACACTCTAGAAACAGGTCCCTCTCACGTACTGAGTTTTGGCAAAACGCTGGTAGTGCTGACATATACAGTCTGGAACAGATTTCTCCAGGGTCTCTGAAAACATCCATAAGGACAGACTCTCTAACCTCCTCCTGTCTGAGGTTGCATAGGACTTTGTGAGTTCTGGTTCCCTCATGTATTCAAGTTCCGTGGTTTAAAAAAAAATCCTGAAGCATGCTCAAGGTGAAAGGCACATACACAGTCAGTACAGTATGATGAGGTCTGATGCTTCAGGAGTCAGACTAACAGGAGACCAACTAGTGTTGGTTCTTAAGAGATCTATACACAATTAAAATATTGCCACACTCAAACACTACAGAAATCTATAGGAAAAGTAAAAACCAGCTAGGTGATGATATTGGAGGGTTCTAGAACTACAGGAGCCTTCAGAATTATGGGTAAGGTAGGGACCTTCCAAAACTGGAGCCAAATGCTCTAACTCACTTTTCCCCCACAGAAGGGTTGTGAACAGCACTGCCCAGAACTGAGCCTAAGCTCCAGCCGGCAGCAAAAGAGTAGGCAAGAAGCGCCGGAGGGAGTTTCAGCTCTTTGAAGTGCTGAAGACCCTAAGCTGGCTGTGATGTAACCAAGGAGTAGCTGGAAGAATCAAAGAGACTAGGTTGTAACTGAAGGAGAACCTTGGGGAGAGGAGCAAAGTTGTCAACTACTGGAGCCCTAGTGGACCAGTATGGGGACTTTGAACTGCTTTTATATTGTAAGTGTGGCCTATTCCCTTGGGTAAGAGATCCCAACAGGGCTTTGTCTGTCCCCATCCCAACATCTGTAGGGCTACCCCCTCCCTTATCCGTATACCCCGCCATAAGGCCTAGGGTTAGCAAGTCAGGGAGGACAGCTGCCTTTGCCCTCATGGAACTGCAGAGGTTTCTCTAAACTTCAGCTTGGCCACGAGGCCTAGAAACCTAGAACTGGAGTGAGGGGGAAGACCTATGTTAGTATGTAACAGGAAATATTAAAAGTTTCAAGGAAGAAAGAGCACACACTAGAAAAGGACAGAAAGAGGAAAGGAGAAGCAACTCGGGGCATCCCAAGAGGCTATTGCTGGTGTCTGAGCCCAAAATTCAATCCTGCTGTGAGAAGGAGAAAGCTGACTGCCCTATCCCCTGTGTCTCATCAGGTATCCAGGTTCCCTCTCCCAGGTACTTAGCGGAGGAGAAGGGAAGAGGAAACCATAGGGTACCTATTTCTCCCCAGCAGCCTAGAAATGGAAAGAGCCTTCCCTAAAGGCCCTGAACCTGGGTAGGGACTATGGGGATTGGGGCAGTGGGGCTCCTGGCCTCCTACCATTAGCCATCCTGGCAGAGTGTGAAATACCAGGCCAGAGGCAAGATAAAGGCTGAGCTGCCATTTTTGGGATGGCTTCACCCCACAGCTTGTCCTCCCCAGCATTACCATTCTGCATTCTTATTCTGGGGTGTGTCCTTCCCCTGCCTAGAATCCCTCCAGCCTGCATCTCTCCTAAACTAGTTCTAGCACCTTGGGCATATGAACAGATATCTAGGATGGCAGGGCTTTGCCCAGCCTTTACTGCTAAGTTGACATGTTGCAGGTAAGGGCAACAAGGTACTAACTAAGCCCTTCAGACAGGGATCTGCAGAGGGTTTGATTTCGGGAAGAGATTTGGGAGGTGAATTACAGAAAAGGGATGAGGGCGTAGACTCCGGGCTCCAGCTTGAGAGCAAGACTTGGCCTCTCTGAGCAAGCACAGTGCGAGCCCCTATTGTGGCCTGCTCCCTACAGCATCTCAACCTGTCTGTCCTGACTACCTTTCCAATAGGTTTCCTCTTTTCCTCGATTCCCTCCACTTTCTCCCACTAACTCACATCTCACAGTCCCTTCCCACATACCTTACCTGTCCATGCCTGAGCAACTCCAAGGAGCCCAGCCTCCAGAGGAGAGGGAAGACTGAAGGCTTCCCTCTAGTCTCACTGGGAGAATCACTGAGTAATTAATAAGGGGGCAGGAGTGAATGCAGGTCCAAACCTTAGATAGAGCGAGGCTTGTAAAGTGAGAGCTGAAGGTAGGAAATGAGCCAGATGCGAGACTGGAAGAAGACACTCTCAGAAACAGGAGTGGGCCGGATATAGAGGACTGGAGGGACGGGGATGGAGAGTGTCAGAGCAAAGATCCAGAAGGGGAACCAGAGAAGGAAAGACCGACTGTCAGTGGGGGAGATGGAGGATTAGATGCCAGAAGGGGCCAGAAGGTGAGAAGGTGAACGGAGCGGGGCTGGGGGGGCGGGGGGGGCAGTTACTGAGCGGGGTGAGGGGTGTGTTCAGAGGCAGATTAGAGGATCAGAGAAAGGGAAGTAGGAGTGGGAGAGAGAGGCGATCAGCCCACCTCACACACTTAAGAAGGGAGGCTGTGGTGTCCAGTCCGAGGTGGGCTGCAGGCGCCCCCTCGATCTGGCTGCGGCGGAGGGGCTGGATGGGGTCGGGAGTCAGCGAGGGGCTTGCAGCACGGCCAGTGGAACTCAGTAGTTGAACTGGCGCTGGCAGGGCTGGTAGACAAAGCTGCCCTGGTGCTTGGGCCGGCGTGGACGGCTCTCGCGGGCGCGGTTCTGCCGCTGCACCACCTTGGCGCTGAGCGCGTGGCGCTCGGCCCGCTGCCGGGCCCGCTGCAGCCGCCGCGCCTGGCCCGCCTTCTCCAGCAGCGCAGCCCGCGCGGGCAGAGGGGCGGCGTGGTGCAGGGCCCGGGGTTCGCGGCGAGGAGGCGCCAGCTCCCTGCGTGGAGAGACAGAGAGTCAATCAGGGCTGGACAAATGGAGGGGAGTGCTGGCACCGCCCCCCGCCCTTGTCCCCGAACCCTCCTCAAGGTTTGGCCTCTGCTCAGAGGGGGGCGCCCAATGCCATTCTCTTGGGTACCAGCCCTTCTTCCAAGCCACCCCGGAGATGCCTCCTCCGTCCTAGACTCTAAAACGGGTAAATGTGGCCCCGTGAAGGCTCAGCTTCAACTTCCAATTCTACCCTGGCATTCTGTACCCCACCCCCACACCTCCTTAGCGCGGCGGCCTCGCCCTTCCAACCTCTCAAGACCCCAAGCCTCAACTCTAGTCTTTCTCAAGCCCCGCCCCAGCCACGAAGCCACGCCTCTCCCAATCTCAAAGGCTCCTCTGCCTTCAGGCTGAGCTACATCCTAGCCCATCGGCCCCGCCCTTTGCCTTGAACACCCGCCTCTAACCCCAGGCAGTGCCCGGGGTTCCTAGGCTCCAAGACACTCCTCTCTAGGCCTCCATGCTCCGCCCCCGGCCCGCTCACCCGTCGCTAGAGTCTCGGTCCGGCTGGGCAGCGTCGTCGTCTTCTGGATGCGGGGAAGGAGGGCCAGGCTCCAGCACTATGGTGCTGCCGGTCACATAAACGGACATGCTGGGGTGCTCGATGAGGAGGTCCTCCAGGGGGCTGCTCTGGAGGCGGGCAGGCCCGAGTCCAGGCCCCTCTGCAGTAAAACAGGCCGGAGGGGTAACAAACCAGCTTTCATCCATCAAGGAGGGTGCGGGCGGAGGGCGGCCTGCCGGGGCAGTGGCGGCCCCGGGTCTGGGTGGAGCTGTGAAGCTGTCTATGGGTTACGGAAGGAGGGGGCGCAGTGGGGAGACACAGACACACACACACAGGACACAATGGACAGGGAGAAAAAGGGCATCGTTAGTCAGCCCCGCAGCCCCGCCAACCACACCCACGAGGCACCCACAAGTCTTGACCTGCTGCCCTAGGGCGTGTGAGGTGTGGACTGCAACACCTCTGCCAGGAGAGAGCCCCAGCTTGCATGGGACAGCCTCCAATACTACTGCCTCAGCCCCAATTTGCCTTGGGAACTCCCCAGCCCCCTAGCAGCTCCCTGCTCAATGGCTGGACTACGTGCCCTAATGAAAACTTCCCAGGCTCAGGAGTCAGTCCTGGCAGACTTACCGGGCAGGTCAATGATGAGCCAGCCATCCATTTCATCCTCCTCGGAGACGAAGGCTTGGGGGCAGTCGGGATCCTCGGCAGCAGGTGGTGGGGGACTGAAGAAGAGGCTGGTGAGGCGCTGAAGCATGGTCGGGGAGCAGAGAGGCCTGGGGGAAGGGGATGGTCTATGGCAGTGCAGAAACCTGTGAGGTAGAGAGGAGTCAGAGGTACCAGGGAATGCTCTCCCCCCAACTTCCCCAACACCCAGAACATTGATAAGAGTACAACAGAAATGTGTGGGAAAGCTTTGCCCTTTGTGTGTGTGTGTGTGTGTGTGTGTGTGTGTGTGTGTGTGTTGTTTGTCCACTTTCTGCTAAGTCAGCCTGCCTTCAGGCTTTTCTGTTTTCTGTATGACCTTAGAAGTTATTTAATGTATCTGTGCTTTAGTTTTCTCATCTGTCAAATGGCAAGAATAATAGTATCCTCCTCTCAGACCTTAAAGGAATTAAATGAGCTAATAACAGTATCCTTTTCTGGGCTCTCATGAGAATTAAATGAGCTAAACACAAAGTGCTCAGAACAGTACCTGGATACAGACTAGGCATTCGATAAACTAATCAACTAGTTTATTATTAATAATTGTTAATATTATTGCATGCTCTAGGACTGATATATAAGACTTTATCAGGGAAGGTCCTCAAAGGACTGGACGTCCAACCTGGACCTTGAAGGGTAAAAACAGTTCTCCAGGCAAGGAAGAAACTGCCCAATATCATGATTATTTATCATCATCATCATCATCATATAGCTAACATTCATGTGCCAAGTACTGTATTAAGCCTTTAACCTATATTACCTCATGTAATCTTCACAATAACTCTAGGAAATGGATATAATTATTAGCCCTCTTTTACTAGTGAAGAAATTGAGGCTCAAAGACAAGATGATTTGCCTAAAATCTCACAGCTAGTAAAGCACAGAGGGAGGATTCTAATCCACACAGATTCCAGATCACTATACTCCATTGCCTTTGCTGGGTATCAGTCTGGGTTAGGCATTTTTAATTTAGTGGCCTGGGACCATGGTCCATGTGTATTTTTCTGAACAGAAGGACCTTGGTTTTCATCATGATTTCCTAAACAGCAGTCCTTGACCCCAGAGATTAAAAATCACTACTTGAGAGGACTTCTCTGGTGGTCCAGTGGCTGAGTCCGCCCTCCCTACTCAGAGGCCCAGGTTCCATCCCTGGTCAGGGATCTAGATCCCACATGCTGCAACTAAGAGTTCACATGCCACAACTAAAGATCCCACATGTTGCAACGAAGATTGAAGACCCCGAGCCCTGCAATTAAGACCTGGTTCAGCCAAATAAAATTAAAAAAGAAAAAAAAAAAGTACCACTACTTGAGCCTGTGTGGCTTGAAAAGGGCTCAGTAGCAGAAATCCCACAGAACAGCTACCATCTCACCATGTGATTGCATAAACCTCAATCGTGTCTGTCAGATGAAGGTCCTATTCCCACAGGCCCTCCACTCTCATCCCCACTATTCCCAAGCTCCTGCTCAAGGATAGCATCCCTGGTTAGGGAGGAAGATCATGTTGCCTGATCAGGTTGCCTGATCTTCAGGGAGACAGCAGGTCAGTGGGAGGTGATGATGGAGGGAGAGAGCCATCAGACCCCAAGGGCCCTTAAGGATGAGGACTGAGGGTTGGACCAGGACTCAAGTCCTCAATCAGTCCTTCCCTGGGTGAAGATGAGAAAGGAGACCCCCTGCTCCAGGAATGGAAACACCAAGCCTACTTCAGGACTAGACCTGGGTTAGGGGCTGCTGGCCAGGCCCCCTAGATGTCCCTAAAGCTTGACTCTCCTGAAGATAACCAACAGTTTTGCTACTCAGCCACTTGTCACCTTCCTCTAAGGATGTTTCCACACTTCCTATAAAGCTCCCTGGGGGAAAAAAAAAAAAAGCTCCCTGGGGATACAGCCACACTTCCATTCCCTGGAGGCATTCTACTTTTATTGCAAACCCACCTGGGGTATTTCTATGGTTGTTGCACCTCTTCCAATCCCTGGGTATATTTTTCACACTTGTCACAGAATCACCCAAGGTCTACACCCTCAGAGTATGTATACATTTGCAGACCCCACAGTGGGCTCCAGAAGAAAGTGGTGCCTGGGTGTTGGCCTCCCTGGTGGTAGATTTTCAGGGATTATGAAAGGTTGGGTCACCCTCAATCAGTGCCTGCCCAGCACAAGCCACAAATCCCAGCCCATTTGTAGCCACAGGGAGTTAGTGACTCAGTTACCAAAAATTCAGAGAGTTTGACCTCTCCTGAAGGAAGCGAAAGACTGGGGCCTTGATGAGGCACACCCTCTTTCCAAGGACCTACTGCTTCATCAAGAAAATGAAAAGAAAATGAACAGGTGTTTCAGACACCATGATATTCACACAGCCCATTTTATAAGCTGAGAATCAGAGGACATAAATCCGTCCAAAGACACACAGCTAGATGGCGGCAGAACAGGCCTAGCACCAGGTCACTGAGCCTTGGGTCTGAAGTGTACATAGTCAGGAACCCCTCAGTAAACAACCCCCCAAAATATAACGATGCAGGGGAGACGGAGGAAGTCAGACAGGAGTCAGATTTTGATCAAGTCTCTGCCCCTCTCAGGGGGCCCTCTGTCCAGCTATAAAAGGGTCTGAGGTTCCTGGCACCGAGATTCATCCTGCATTTACCAAAGCACCCACTGTGTACCAGAGTCTGCTCCAGGTCTCTTCAAATTACAAACAGACTGAGGTAAGGAAGGCTTAGGGTTGGGAAAGCTCCCTGCCGAGGTCACACAGCAAGTCAGTGACAGAGCCAGAAGCGACAACCTCACCAGCCAGCCAGTGCCCGCCCCCTCTCATGACCACAGAGGGAGGCTCCCAGAATTTTTCTTTCCCAGCCCTGCCAACTTCCTGGTTCTCACATTCCCAGTTCTGCTCCTGGGAGAACCATTCCCTTTAATAACTGCAACAGCTGTGCCCGGAATAACACTTGAGCCCCAAGCCACCTCTACCCCAGCCCATCTGTGAGCAGAGTCTAGGCTGAGATAGGACTCTTGGTCCAACCCATAGGCCCATCTACTTGGAAAGTCAGAGGATCCCCTTCTCCTGCTCGGTCTCTGGTGCTTCTCTGTGAGCAGAGAGGGGAGCACACGCTTTGTGATCACCTTAGTCCAGGTCAATCCTTTCTAGCTGACAGCTCTGGGGGTGCAAGGTGAAAGTGATAGTTGCTCAGTTGTGTCCAACTCTTTGTGACCCCATGGACTAGCCTCCCAGGCTCCTGTGTCCATGGAAATCTCCAGGCAAGAATACTGGAGTGACCACCTCAGTTCTCCCTGGAGAACAACCTCTCCCTCCAGCCCCTGCTCTAGGATAACACAACAAATAACACCTAGTCATAGAAATCAGTCTCTTTGGTTTGTTTTGTATTATGTTGTACATCATTAAAGATCTAAATACAAAGGATATACAGTCTTGATGAATCTAAAGTAATTTGCTAACTATTTTGATTCTTCAGAGAGAACTACTAATAAAAATCTAAAAGGTTAAAAAAAAAAAAAAAGAATACTGGAGTAGGTTGTCATTTCCTTCTCCAGGGGATCTTCCCGACCTCTGGTCTCCTGCATTGCAGACAGATTCTTTACCATCTGAGCCACCAGGGTGGGAGGTGAAGGACAGCCAAATAGAGGGAACTCTCATCTCCACCCCATCCCAACATTGGCCCGGGAGACACCCTGATGCAGCCATTGACTCACTTTTCTGTGGCCAAAACAGCTGGGAGGCAGTGATTTTACTGGGCTCCAGAACTCTGAGGTACAGAATGAGGGTCGGGGCCTCAATAGGGGACCCAGTCTCCAGAGACCTCCTGGAAAAAGATCCAGGAGTGAGGAAATCTGGGAGCATTATCAAATTTGGATGGGGCTTAGCCCAAGTGGTTGGATGGCATTACCGACTCAATGGACATGAGTTTGAGTTGGTGATGGACAGGGAGGCCTGTGTGCTGCAGTCCATGGGGTTGCAAAGAGTCCCACACGACTGAACGACTGAACTGAACTAACCCAAGTAGAGTCTTAGGTGCAAGGAGGATGTGTAACTTGTTACTTGTAATAAGCTTCTACTAGGTATGTGCCAGTGGCTAATGGATCCGCCACTCACTATGGAGGCATGACTGTAACTGGCTGCACGACCTCGAGTAAGCCACTTCCCCTCTCAGGGACTCGGTTTCTCCTTCCATGAAATGGGCTCTAAGACCCCTCGTTCGGGGGCTGGGAACGACGTCAGCTAAGGCGCTGCACACATGTCAGGGATTAGGAGAATGTTATTATGTTAGTCCCAGGGGCTCAGAGCCTGGAGCCAGAGGGAGGAGATTGCACCACCACCTGGCGCTGCCCCAGCGATCTACAGTTCAAGCTTCAGGGGCTCCAGAACTTCTGACAACCCCCTCCCCCTATCTAGACCCAGCTGTGCCTTCGGAACCTCTCTCAAGTCTCTTCCAACCTCTCTCAAGTTTAAGAAGAAAGCAGAAGATCAGAGGTTTGACCTCATCTCCTGGGTTAGCCCAGGAAACAGGAGGGCCCTCTGGTCCCGCTGCCTTCAGCGTCCCTCACTCATGGGCCCAGTTCCGACCCAGCGCCCAACGGGTCACCGGAGGACAAGCGACCCGAGTCGGGAGGGGGTGGGGGGGGCGGTGCCGGCCTTGGTGACGTCTCAATGTCATATGCAAATAGGGAGACGTCACCGTCTACCGGGCGGGGGGCAGCCAATCCCGAGCCCAGAATGCAGCCCCTGCAGCCGCCGGCGGAGACTGACAAAGACCGGGAACTGGGGGCGCGGGGCGTGTCCCGAGGCTCCAGGAGGCCCCCTGGCCAAAGCCGCTCGGAACTCACCTGGGGACTAGGGGCGGTGCGGCGGAACCAGGTGGCGCTGAGGTAGTTGTGAGGTGGAGCGTCCCGGGGTCGGCGGCGGATCACAGGTCCGGCAGCATCGCGGGGGCTGGGTTGGGAGCGCGTCGGACGCTCAGACTGACTGCGCTCGCCCGCGAAGCTTTGAGTCTACAGCCGCCGCCGCTGGACTCACTGCACAAATTGGAACGTTCAAACAG